GAAGTCAGTGAGGCAAATAATACTTGTGGAAATGTTTCATAAGCTGTCAGGCACTCTAAAAATGGGAGGCTACAGCCTCACGATATTTTAAACACTAACTGAGTGCTCACCCTGTGTTTATACTTACTAGCTTCCCAGTGTGCTGAGCATTTTAATAACCTCAGAATAAATAAGTAAAAAAAAAAAAAACCCGAAAACCGGGGAAGAAAAAAGGGCAACTAACCGCCCCCAAAAAGAAGAAAGCAACGGCCAACGAAAGCAAAGAACCTCAAACTGCCTAACCCGAAAAGGAGGTGAAGGAAAAAAGAAAAAAGAAGCAACCAAATCCCCGGGAAAAAACGGGGGAAAAAGGCCCAAAAAAAAAACTTTCAGATGAAGATTTCAGGAGCCCTATTTCCTGTATCTTCTCATATGTGGAAAAGTACCAAAATCATGAACAATGACATCTGCTCCTCGTGACCAGCAGCAACCTTCTGCCAAAATGCATTGTTTCACGGACCCACTTCACCAAAATCACATAGAGCCTGACCTCCACCCCACTTCTTGGGGGGTGTATCCTCAGAGATGGCTGAGATGCTGCCTCCCTGGCTAAAGTCCTCATTTTGCACCCAAATAAAATTTAATTCACAATTCTCAGGCTGTGGGTTTTTTTTTTTTTTTTCAGCTGACACATCAAAAGCTTGATCTTGTTTAAGATTTCTTTACCAAGCTCCAGGTATATGAAAACAGATAATATATCAAAACTGCATTAACTTACAGTTCACCTGTAAAGGGAAAAATGGTAAGACAGGAAGGCATCCAGAGGGAACAGGCATGAGGAGCAGAGGGAGGGTTTCTGATACGACTAAAGCCAGTTTGTCCTGCCTGCAGGTGGACGAGATGGTCATTACAGAACCCAGTAGGGAGCACGGTGAGTGGACAAGCCACGTGTCTGGGAAGTAGGTCCTATTCAGAAACAGGAGGAAAAGTTGGGCACCCTCAAAGGCAGCTCCTTTCCCGAATTATTAGCTGATTTTTGAATCAGTAACAATGGAAAAATCGGTAAGAAGAGCCTGCAAGAAACTATCAAGATGAGGCTCTTTCTTCTAAAACTGGCACAAACACAAGTTAATACAAGGTTGGTCTGCATCCATGAAGAAAAGAGTCATTCACTCTCTCAGCTTCCAGGTGCTCTGACTGTCTGCACAATGTGACCCAGTGCTTAAGGACCCAGATGCTGGAATCAGAATTCTGGGTTCACATCCCACTGTCACTTGGTAAGGGAGCAATTTTAGGTGATTTACTTAATCTGAGCCTCCATCCCCTCACCTCCCCCCCCCCACACACAAAAAGGCTCACTGTAAGTGTAAACTTGCTAAAAGAGAGCTGGACCAGCGTAAGTGTTATAGGCACACGTTGGCTATTCCTGTCCTGTCTACAGCCTGATGAAAGGATCCTGTCTCCAAAAGTGCCTATAAGAAGTCACAAAATGGATTTCGGCTTGAGGTGGAGAAGGCGTCTGCTGGTGTAAGCCCAGAGCTCAAGTTCTTTGAAAGGGGCATATGTGTCTCAGACACCCAGCAGATACCTACTAAAGAGGGATTTGCACAAAGGAGACGTGACCTTAACCATAAAGAATGTGACTTTAGCTGACAGTGGGACCTATTGCTGCCGGATCCAATTCCCAGGGCTAATGAATGATCGAAAATCAAACCTGGAGTTGATCATCAAACCAGCCAAGGTCACTCCAGCTTGGACTCCATGGAGGGACATCACTACAGCCTTTCCAAGGATGCTCACCACAAAGGGACCTGTCTCAGAGACACAGACACTGGAGACCCTCCATAATAAAAATCAGACAGAAATATCCACACTGGCTACTGAGTTACAAGACATGAGTGCCACCACCACAACAGGCCTCTACATAGGAGCAGGAGTCTCTGCCGGGCTGGCTCTGATTCTTATCTCTGGTGGTTTAATTCTCAAACGGTATTCTGATAGAAAAGAGAAGACACAAAATTCAAGCCTCATCACTTTGGCCAACCTTTCTCCTTCAGGGCTGGCAAGTGCAGCAGAGAGGGGATTCACTCAGAGGAAAACATCTATATCATTGAGGAAAATGTATATGAAGTGGAGGATCCATACGCGTATTACTGCTCCGTCAACAGTGGGCAGCAATCCTAACCACCTCTGGGCCGCTGTCACCTTTCAATGCCACTAGATTCAGCCACTGCATTTTGGGGCCTGGTGTTGTCTTCTTTGAAAACATGAGATGGCTCAGCTGACTGATTTTAGAAATTCTGTCCTTGGCCACCAAGCAGAGTTTTTCCATATTTTAAAGATAACTAGCTCACTCGAGGATTGAGCTGGGACCTGTGTGGTAATGCACAGGCACTACATTGCCTCTGTGTTCCATCCTCCCAACTCAGAGACTGCTAACTGGGACATGAGCGCTCAAGTGGGCTTTTACAGAAAGTAAGAATTCTTAATAAGGGATTTCTGGAATTCTAGATATTCGACTACATTGTGTGTCCATGAAACTCCTGAAAATACAGGGGAAATTACATGCTGAGATATATGTGTGATTTTTTCCATACAGGAAGTCTAAAGGGGTCACTGATTCTCAAAGAGCTCTGTGATCCACAGAACGGGTTAGGAAAGTACTGGAGTAGGACTAGATCGCCTTGATTCCCTAAAAGCCTCACGTTTGATGCTTCTTGAATGTTGACTCTGCAACAGTAAGTGCCCATGCACAGTCCTCCTTGGCCTCAGTGAAGAAGATGGCCCAGCAAGGCCTGTGGTGTGGCAAATGCTCCTGGAGAAAAGGGAAGTACACTCAGTGTGTGCTGACCAGTTTTGCTTGGGGTGTACTCAAAGGGAAAGATCTCTGACCGACTTCTCCATTCATGGAGAGAAATGGAGCAGTGTTTTTCATAAAAGAAGAAGCAGTGACTGGGACAGAAATTCTGTTCCCTGGTGGAAAGTAGGTAAAGGTCTCTAGCCGTCTTTATTTGTCAGTTAGATCTCTTCGTGCTTTGACAATGGTCCTTAAGCTTCAGTGCCAGGATGGGGGAGAGTAGGCCCATCTTGCCTGTTTTTTTCCTTCCCAGTTACGGCACAACTCTGACACATAATAGAGATTTACTTATTATCTTTGGAGTGAAAAAATTAAATAAGCAGAAAGGTAAATTTCTGGAAAAACTTTTCCATTGGAGAGTTCAGATAGAGCTCTGTACCTTCACTTGTTGGGGAACTCAAAGATACTCTCAAGCTCCTGTTCCTGGTCTTGTCCAGCTCTTAGTTTCTTAGCATCTTCTTCCAGCTCAGTCCCTGGAAGTCTGTTACTCTCCTGTCTCCTTTCTCCTTTCTGCTGGATGAATCAACAATAGAGACCTGCCTGAAAATGGCCGTCTCCAGGTGATGACTAAACTGCTACTGTGTTGCATGCAGGAGATATTGGTCACCAAGGATGCAGGCAGCCTGTTTGTTACAGTGTCCAGGCTGCATCTAGACAGGTTTGGGAAGCATTCCTTTTCTACTGGAAATTTGAAAGGGAGATCATTTTGCAGAATTCCAGGCAGTGGCTTTTAAACAAGCTGAAAAATTAATCTTAAGTGTTTTTAATTTATGAAATTTTTGATGGAAGAGATTTCAAAACTCATTTAAACCATGTCAATGATTGCCCCACGAAAGAGATTCTTTCTTTTTTTTTTTTTCAATAGGGATTCTTATCCTAAAAAAAAAACGTTAAACAATGTAAAGAACAACTATTGCAGCAGTGTTTGTTAGAAACCTTTTCCATCAATTGGGGAATAGCTGGTTATTATGGTTCTGTCAACACACTGGAACAGTTAAAAAAAAAATTAGGTAGTTTCATCGTTGAGTTGTTTTGCTAGTTCAACAGAAGCTTAGTGTTTACCTTGAGCCAGGTTCTCTGGTGCTGGGATCACAGAGACCAAATAAACACATCCCTGACCCCATGGAACTTCTGACTGATCTGACGAAGGAGGATCTTANTCTGACCTGGTCTAAACCGGCCCCGCCTGGGATGAGGGTGGATTTGTGCTTGCTCCAGTCCACAGTGCTGTCAGCCTGTTCCTGGGGGTGCTGCCTGGTCAGCTTCCCCTGTCTCCTTTGCTCCCTCCCTGACCCTGCACCTTCCCCGGCCACGCCGAGTCGTCCTACGTGCCCCGGCCACCGCAGCCCTCATCCTTCAGTGGCTCACACAGAGCTGTGTGTTCGTCCCCAAAGCCACCGCGGACCTCCGCAGCGCGGACCTCCGCAGCCCGGCCCTGCACGGGCCGGGACCCTGGGCCCCCCCACCACTTCCCGCCCCCGTGGCGAGCCGGCCAACCTTCGATGAAGTCCGAGGCCGTGTAGGGCCGCTGGTCGGGGCTGCTCTCGGCGGGGCTGTTGAGGGCCTCCACGGCCGACTGGATGGCCTCCACCAGCTCGTCCCGCTTGTCCCTGCGCACCGGCTTCTCCTCGGGGTGGCGGGTGAGGCCGGTCTCCAGCTGGTACACCCGGTGCAGCGTGAAGCTGTCGAAGGGCACGGCGGCGTACTCGGTGGCCTGCTTGACGCCGGCGTGCACCTCCGCCCTGTCCACCTGCGAGCGCAGGAAGGCCAGCAGGTCGGCCTGGGCCCTGCCCGGCGCGCCCGCGGGCTCCCCGGCCAGCTGCCGCGCGGCCCTCAGCTGCTCGCTGCGCTCCTGCAGCTCGTCCTGCAGCTGCGCGATCTGCCTCTTGAGGCTCCCGACGTGGTCGTGGTGGCGCTCCTCCCAGCCAAGCGCCGCCGCCTGGGACCCGGCCCTGCCCGTGGGGCCGTTGGCCCGGGGCAGCCCCAGCCGCTCCTCGTCGCCCCGCGGAGTGCAGGCCAGCATGTACAGGACGGACACCGCGCAGCAGACGAGCACGAGCAAGACCACCACGCGGGAGGCCCAGGCGAGCAGCCCCCGGCGCAGCATCCTGGCTCAGGAGTCGGCCATGCGGCCCGGCCCGCGAGGGGCGTCCCCAGACTAGAGCTCCGGGAGCACGCGGCCGAGGCCCCCCGAGCCGCTCTCATCCATTCCTGCCTACACCGCCACGCCTTGCTCCTGGGAGGCCACCGCCACGCGCAGCACTTTCCTGACTTCTGAAGGACGAACTTGCGGGCAGAGGCAACAAGTCGCGGAAACCGTCCAAGTGGTCAGGCTCATTCCCATCGTAACCTTCCAGAGGGGATCTGGGGAGAGAGAGAGGACAATAACACTCACTCAAGGCAAATAACCACCTTGTGTTCAATAATCGATATGCAGTGGGGTTTATGGGAAATACTGGGAATTCCCGGGCAGTCCAGTGTTTAGGACTGCTAAACTCTCACTGCCGTAGAGCCGGGTTCAGCCCCTGGGTGGGAAACTAAGATCTGCAAGTCATGCAGTGTGGCAAAAAGAAAAAAGAAGATGCTTACAACAGGTGATTAAATATTGTTTGGTGTTTCTGAATCAGAATGCAGATACCATTTGCAGAGGAGTGCACACAAAATACAAAGCATGCAAAGAAAAAAAGAAAAGATGGCAAAACGTGAGCTCTCTCACTAGAGCAGGATGAACGGTGAGTTTTATCGTGTAAATTGTCCACAATGGCACATATTATTTTCGTGGTTAAAAGGGGGAAAGCAAAACTTAAGTGACAATGGGATTGCAGACAGGGCCTGCCCAAGCCCTGCTAGATGCAAACAGTGAGCATCTCTGATCTTGAGGGCACCCGCCTAGGGCAGAGCTTTAAGCCGGCTCAGGGTGGTCCTCACGCTTTCTGCTGAGCAGTGCGGAAGCACCTGGAGGCTCAAATAAGTGAAAGTGAAGTGAAGTCGCTCAGTCGTCTCCAACTCCTTGCGAACCCATGGACTGTAGCCTACCAGGCTCCTCCGTCCATAGGATTTTCCTGGCAAGAGTACTGGAGTGGGTTGCCATTTATGCAAATGCTAAGTTTGGATGGTAACATACAGAATGAGCGCAGACAGCTCTTCCAGGGCAGCAGGTGATGAGTTTACAGAGAAAGGGGTGAGGCCGGGAGAAGGGGACCTGAAACACTGCCTGGTGAGAACTCAAACCAGGATGCCTCTGCCCACCCTCCAGGAGGAATTCCCTGTCCTGGTGGCTCACCAGGAATACCCAGCCAGACCACACAGCCTGTCACACACACTCTGAACCTCAACTTCACCATCCCCCCCAAACAAATGCAGAGCCACCTGGCTCTGACCCACTGTCCCCCTTTCCCGGGTACCCCCTTCCTCCTCCACCCATCAGTGACCCTCTCTTCCTCACCCCCTCCACCCCCTCCCTTCCTCAATCCCCTTTTCTCATCTCCCCTGCCCATCTGAGCCAGGAAAAAGAACAATAAATGAATCAAATAAGATTTCTTGTTTTGGGAGATTTTAATAAATTTTCCTAGATGCATCTTCTTATTCAATAGATCACTTCTCTGACATGAGCTCCCTGAGGATACTGTTTTTGGGTCATTTCAACACTTTTAAAAAATCTCTGTGATAACGAAGTTACTTTTCAGATAGTCTTCACTAGACCTAGATATCCAGATTCTCACCTCATTTACCAGTGGGCTTACTCACTGATGGACCGGAAGAATTCTAGGCAATTAGCAGCTTCTGGACCCCTGGGAGGAGGAGGAGGTGACCCTTCTGCACCCCCCGTGTGCTGAAAATGCAGTGAACAGCAGGGCTCAGTGAGTCTGAGTGGTCACCCCCTTTGTACCACAGCCATAGCTGGGAGCTTCCCTCCTACTTCCCAGGTGATGTGCCTCTTACGATATTACTATGTTATCAAAATAGTTGATTTCCCAATTTTCTGTTGAGATGCAGCACATAACATTCTCTGCAGTGTTTCCCTTGGCCTGAGGATTCTCCAGCCTACACTTGAGCACAGTACATGGTTATCAGTGTTGAGTTTAAAGTGCATGTTTAGTGCCTGTTTCCGTCTGATGAAAATCCCAGGATTTATGTAATTACTATAATTCTGTGATTAAAAACATCTCAGCTTGGGTATTCAGGCACCGTGCTGTTTTTAATGACATCCCTTGGATTAACTCATTATATCCGGGTACTAACTCATTATATTCGAGTACTAAATTACCAGTGAAGACACATTACCATGCTATTCGGCCACTTTAAAGACTTTTACTTTAACTGGATTGTCACTAAAGACCAAATAAGCAAATAAAAAAAAAAAAAGAAACATTCAACACCATTTATTGTGCTGGGGAAACAAAGTATGTAATCTTTCTAATGTTTTGAATGGAATAATTGCTGTATTTGCATAATAAATTGAAATCATGTTGATTAACTGAAGCAGTGCATTAAAGCAATAGCTAAAATATTTTTTAAACTGTACAATAATTATTTTGTTCCATTCCATAAATCTCTGGAAAGTCTAGTCCAGCTTTTGAAGTTCACTAGTATAAATTTCAAAGTTATTTGTTATTTCACTCTTTGAGATATAAAAGGAGAAAAAAAAAACAGGCCTAGTAAGAAATGACTTTTTAAAAGAAACAAAAGCCATAAAAATTACTGCCAAGGGAGCAGTGATGGATTGCTCCTTTTAAAGGTCAGGAGCAGATAAGGTACATCAGAAATAAAATTCCGCACCTCTCAACACACAATGGTTCTTGCTGTTTCCAGCAATCTATCCTGTAATCAAAATAGTAACCTGGTTGCGCATTTGCCTGCTGGAGTCAGGAGGCTTATCCTCCCCACTCCTACTTCTATGGCGACATCGTGTTTTTCATCTGCAGCAAAGGTGTTACCTTCCCAGCTCTACCACATACATGTATAGGACGCCTCAATGAGATACAACCCAGACCAAACGTACAACCAAACCACAAAGGTCCAGCCTCTCCCGCTCTCTGCAGAGGTGCTGGGAGAATGAAACAGTTAACATTTCCACTGTGTTTACAGCTGCAGATGGAGCCCACCATGTAATTACCAGGCACTATCATCAGTGACAGTGAAAATACAGCTGCACCATCCCAGCAACATCGTGCTACTATTTAAAATGCTTAGAAAAGGCACCAGATTTCAGAGGAGTTCTGTCTTTGGGGCATTTAGGGGCAAGACCTGATGGGAAGAGCCAACTCATTGGAAAAGACCCTGATGCTGGGAATGATCGAAGGCAGAAGGAGAAGAGGGCAACAGAGGATGAGATGGTTGGATGGCACCCGCGGATATGAACTTGGGCAAAGTGAAAGATGTTGAGGGCCAGGGAAGCATGTTGTACTGTAGTCCATGGCGTCTCAAAGAGTCCGACGTGACTTGGAGACTGAACAACAAAGTCCTGTCGGTAACCAGCCTTCAGACGAGTAAAAGGGAGGTGCACGTTGCTATTTTTTAACTACAAAAAAATCCTCATGCTCGTTGCATCTGCCAGCTACATTTTACTTTTCTTAAAGCTTTTTTAATTCTTTGTCATTGCAATTAGCATTAGATTTTTCTTGTACTCCAGTCAGTACAGCAAGATTAAGGATGATTTTTTTGTTCATTGTTTAGAGAGAAAAAAGTAAGAGCATAAATGTATCAGACATTTCAAAATACTGTTTTACAAAATAACCAAATATTAGGTTTTTTTTTTTTAATCCTGATTAAAAGCAGACATAAAGTAATGATAGATCACTGTGAATTCAAGCAAGAGCATACACTTTCTTTATGTCTGTTTTTCAGAAAAGTTCAAGAGAATAAACAGTGAATATAGCTTTAAAGCAAAAGTTGACTCAAACACAGTACTTTAGAGAAAAGTCCACCTGAGAAGTAATACTTTTTTTCTTTTCACTTCACCCAGTCGTATCCGACTCTTTTGAGACCCCATGCACTGTAGCCCACCAGACACCTCTGTCCATGGGATTTCCCAAGAAAGAATATTGGAGTAGGTTGCCATTCCCTTCTCCAGGGGATCGTCCCAACCCCGGGATCAAACCCAGGCCTCCTGCATTGCAGGCAGATTCTTGACCATCTGAGCCACCAGGGAAGCCCTTTTCTTCGTTGCCACCTTCGCGTCAAACGTCCATCCTTCCCAAGAGCTTCCCCCAGTGCTTCCCTGCCCCACCAGATTCCCAGGGATGTTCTGTGATGCACACTGTCCAAAAAACACTGCACTTATTGATTAGACTGAAGGGACATCCAAACACAGTGGCTTTGCTGCTGTTTTTACAACCTCTGAGCCACGAAAGGGCAGGCGGAGGTTCCTCCAAGGTCCGCTGTGAGGGCAGACCAGGCTGCAGAACAGTGCTCGCCAGATCACCCTGGGCTGAGCCCACCTGACGCAAGGTCACTCCCCAAACTCTCAGGCTGGACAAGGGCTCTCGGGACAGACAGACTGACCTTGAGAGCTCTGCCCTGGGGTATGCAGGCAGGGGGCTGCTTAAAGAATTTCTTTCTGAACATTCCAGGCCGAGAATCTGAAAGACACAAGGGCCTAAGCCAAGGGGCCCAGCCATGGGGTGGGTTTCTCAGACTCCAGCTGCAAGCCGTCTGACAGCGCTGACATCCTGCGCTGACCAGCAAGCATCCGGGGCAGCCCCAGGCCTCCAAATAGCACAGTGAGGGCCCGAGAGGGGGAAGAATCCAGGATGTCGTCGCTATTCATCCTCACTGTCACTGAGCACCTACTAGTTACTGCCGACAAGAAGTTACAGGAGATGAAAAGTGAACGAAGCACAACGTCCAGCAGCAGCCCCATGAGCTTGCAGAGGAATGAAGCCCTTTGCCAACAACTATAACACGAGCCCTTAACAGGCAAACTACACTGAGACACATATCATCACTAATGCCATGTTCCCACCTACCAAATGTATGGGGGATAGGGGTTGAGAAGTATAAAAAAATAAATTTCAAAATGACAAGAGCTTAAAATAAATGTTAGATATCCACAACAATCATTAAGATAGGCAAGCGGCTACAGGGACTGTGTATCCTTGCATCTTAGAGTGGAAACTCTGAGACTGAAAATGAAGACCCGTCTTAAGGTTGGTCCAGGGTGAGGACAGTAGACATTCAAATTCCAAAGCCAGGACAGAGGCGCTCTTAAGATGCATGTCCCAGTTTCAATCTACAGACCCCAGTGGACATTTCGGTCAGCAGGGCTGTGGTCTGCGGCAGAGAGAGCCTTCCAAGGGGCTTCTACGAGTGGCCTGAGAAGCTCACACACGCTGAGGACCGCAGGACAAGCCCAGCTGTGAGAC